TCTCCGACTCAGTTTTTCTCATACAGGTTTACTGCTCTAACTTCAAGTGGTCAGACCTACATACGTACAATTTTACAAAATACGAAACAAATCAAGTGTATTTTTTTACGTTGTGATTTACCAGAAAACAACAGTTTAAAAACAATTACAGATATGTTAGGAACTACTGATGTGAAATATTTACATTTTCATTCGAAAAAATCTTTGTCCTTCAAAAAACTGCATTTGAAGAGCTTCGAGAATTTATATTTATTGGATTTATCGTATAACTATATAGTTATGATGGACAAATATCTGCTGGAGGATCTAACTAATCTAAAGAAACTAATTATGCGCGACAGTAATTTACAAACAACCTTTCCTTTTCGTTATCCTCCCCAATTGCATGAGATAGACTTAGGAGAGAATGAATTAATATCGATAACACCAGGCTCATTCGACAAATGTCATAATTTAACATTCCTTTCTTTAGAAAAAAATAACTTAACTGAGCTTGAATCGGGAATTTTCGACAAACTTATAAATCTTAAGTCTTTGTACCTTACCTCGAATAACTTGGTCAGCTTGCCGGAAGACATATTTGCGAAGCTAAAAAATCTCGAAACACTTAGTTTATCTAAAAACAGTTTTACAATTTTGCCAAGATACCTGCTACAAAACAATACAAATCTGCAAAGTTTTGACTTATCCTTCAATAAGAAGAAATTGATCGACTTACCAAATGAATATTTTAAAAATTTAACAAAATTGGAGATATTGAAGCTGGAAAACAATGGATTAATCTTTTTGCCGGAAGATCTTTTGTGGGGATGTTACTCACTGACCACTCTCAGTCTAAGTGGAAATAATCTTGGTTTTTTATCAGAACTTATATTCCGGGATTTGACAAAATTGTCAGAATTAAAATTAGACTCCAATGCATTTAAAGACCTACATGATTATATATTTTTAAATCTCAGACAATTAATAAAATTAGATTTATCAAAAAATCATATTCGTTCCATTAACGAGTACGTTTCTATTACTTTAATTAATATATCAACATCATCAATGTTTATATTTCTTATATTTTTGTTAATAGAAAAATTGTTTTAATCTTTCAGTCAACTTTTCCAAAATTTAATCAAGTTGGAAGAATTGAACATGGCAGATAATTCCTTATCAATTATTTCTGATAAAAGTTTCAATTCTTTAAGCAGATTAAGGATTGCTAATTTTTCAAACAACTTTCTTACGTTACAACCCACTACGAGAATTCATGTACATTCACCTTTTATTGATTGTCGTTTATTAGAAGAATTATATTTAAGCCACAATAATATTTTGCAAATATTCAACGACTGGATTATTATTCATTCACGCCTTAGAAAACTGGATCTCAATAATAACTATATATCCAGTTTTTATGTAAGTATATTTAAAAGTGTCGATAACAATAACAAATGTGTCATTATTCAATATGCTTATTCATGATGTCGATAATATTTAATGATCCCTTTTGTTCATTTTAGATCGACGATTTACAGTTTGCATCAAAAAGAATCGAAGTGGATTTAACTTATAATGAAATACAATACATCAGTTTAGAGGATGTCGAAGACGTGATCAATAATGGTTGGTTAAACAGCATAGTGATATTGATTGGACATAATCCTTTGCATTGCGATTGCAAATTGTATGATTTTCTGCGCTATATCGAAGGCAAAATGCATCCTAACATCAAAAGATATATTCGTATAGATTCAGAAAATTTAACTTGTCACACTCCATTTCGATTGAAAGACGTGCGTGTTATAAATTTGCAATCTGAGTCATGTATAGCAAATAATACAGATATTGTGATGTGCCCCGATAAGTGCAACTGCTTTGTCAAGCAAGAAGAAAAAATGTTCATGATTGATTGCTTTCGTAAAAATTTGACTATTGTGCCAAGCTTCATGATAAAGTCGTTCGATTCCTGGCAAGTCGAATTCAATCTCTCCAATAACCAATTAACACAAATGCCAAATTTGACAAACTTGAGTTATGGAGTAGTGAGCAAACTTATCTTATCTCACAATAACATTTCCGAGATTTCCTTGGATGGACTGTCGATAACATTAAAGGTACTTAAACTTATTGTATTTTATGTAAAAAACACAATTTTGAAAAAAATATTTTATAAAACGTAAAAACAAATTAAATTTGATTTTTTATCTATTTTATCTTGTAGGGTAATAACGTAATAAAAAAATAATGAGCATTTTACGATAAAATTTTAAAATCAAACTTTGTGTTTCAGGCTTTGGAGATACATAATAATAATATATCAACAATATCTTCCGATGTGTTAAATTTCTTGAGAAACGCCACAAATTTAACTTTATTGACGTTACGTGGAAATCCATTGATATGCGATTGCAATACTAAAGATTTCATAGATTTTATTATCTTAAAATCCAAAATTATAGCTGATCTGCATAATGTGACGTGTAATGGCAAGAATAAACTTATATCAAACATGATGACAATGAACTTGACCGACTCTTGTCCGATTGTTCATTATATGAAGAATAATGGAGAACAATTGTATACAGAGCACATTTACTGGTTTATTTCTACTTTTACGGGATTAATCATTGGCACATTCTGTTATATGTATTAACTGCATCTTAAAAAAAGGCTATTTACTCATAGGTTCATAATAGACGCAGATGAAGAAAATGAATCAGACAACGAGAAATTATACGACGCGTTATAAGCTACTCGCAGGATTATCGTGATAAATGTGTTAGTGCGCGCACTGGAGAACGGCTCGACGTCATTCAAGCTGTGCCTTCCTTATAGAGACTGGTTAACAAGCGAATGGACAATGGTAAACATTGTAAAATCTCTAGAATTGTCCCAACGGATGATAATGGTGCTGTCGCCAAGCTTCTTGGAGAACATT